CAGGGATGGATTGGAAGAGATAAGCTATGTCACATACGAGTATCCTCCCAAATCGCACAAGAGAACAAAAATGACTTCCATTGCCGTTTGATATAAACCGGGAACCGAGGAATTCTTTGGTGCTATTAAGGATAGATCACCATACTCGGTAAGGCTATGTCTAGCAATTCTCGCTTTGTATCAGTCGTCAGTGTGGTTTCGTCACGATCATGTTAGGAAGTACTTACCCGTTCACTTTTTTGGCGGAACATAGTCGGTAGAATTGACGCAATCAGTTTAATGGCAATCGTCGACTTTGTTTCTTCTTCCACTGGGGGTTTCCGTTTCGAAGAAGCAACTGTCCAGAAGTTCTTTGGGAATTGCGTGCATTGTGGCTGAAGTATAAGCAAATAGAGGAGCAGAGGATTGTTTTTATCATAGTTGATAAGGTTATTTCACAGTAACAAGTAGGGATCCAGATTAAGAATGAATCTGATAAGGTCCTTATACCAAAGATAGTAATATTTCAGCTAGTGTATGACTCAGTTAGGGCTTATATATCTAATCACGCTATCAGATTGATCCATAACTAACGCGAATTAGCACTCCAAACTAGCCAAATTGGGCTATGGTCTGGTTATTGCACTCGCTCTATGGGCTTCTATGCAAGCACTACTTATCTGATCCTACCAGACCAAATAAGCCAGTCAGATTCAGCGATATTGATGCATTTTGATATATCAAAACGATTCCAGGCACTCAATTGGTCCCAATCCTCCCCTCAAGGATACCGCAGCCAAAACGGGAGGCAAATTACCTATTTAGGCAGTAGCAGGAGCGCCCAATCAAGAGGCAGAAGGTCCCAAGCAGGTGCTTGGCCTGTGGGGAGAGCAATCATACGTTTAAAATTTGCCCAATGCGGAAGAATTGAGGCTTTTTGTATATTAGATCTGGTATATGTATGAGGTTGCCAGTCATGTGACCTTTATCCTATCTATTCCGATGGGGTGCACCCTACCTACCTAGGTATAATCACATGATTACTAATGGGGTGCAATTGCTGATTTTTGGGGTGCAGGGATCAACACCCGTGAGCGGGTTTAATGATTATGTAATAATAGGGACGTGCTCAGCTTTACTCAGTGAGCAAAAAGCGGCAAGGGGTGGGCACTAAAACGGAAAGGGAAACCTGTCTCGCTCGGCCTAGAATCCGGTGTATATGTGCAACCAAGATCCATACATAGGTATCTCAGAATGACGAATGGTTGAGAGTGGCAGGGCACACTCACCCACGTATGTTCGTATTGTAAGTGGTGGTTTCTTCGAGATCAACGATCAAAATGTACCCAGAATTGGATTGAAATGTCTTATTTGTGAGCAGTATTTGCTCATTCATTTTTCCCCCTCTTGATTCGCTTGTTCCTAATATCTGGGTGTGCATCGTTCAGCCTGGTTTGAGATGAGGAGAAAAATCTATGTTAGACTCGCGTTTGTATTTCAGGCCGATCGTCAAGTCTACCGACATGTTGATTTGAATTGTAACATTTATCCATTTTGGGCAGCAAATGAATGAACACCGATATTAGGTGTATGTATTCCGCCGGTACTGAACCAATGAAGCACTACTCCGTCAAGCATGCACATTAAATCTAAAAGGTTAATGCTCTCCTATTCTGTTTATAAGAAACGACTCAACGGCCTTGGGCTTGTGGGCGCAAGCTCTAGGATTTGGCCCCTGTTTACTATTTTTAGTCGGTACAATACGATCATTGGCGCTGGAAATACATCAGCTCCACTTTCGAACAGCCTCAAGAATGTGATGTAAACTCGGAAGCAAAGGGGGTTAGTTTTTGATGATTTGGTTGAATATATTAATCGAAACTTCCACGATTGGATTTCCTGGATTGACAAGATATTCAAATTAGCTGGGACCTCTACGGATACGGTAGCAAACGAGACCGGGTTTGCCAGCACAAAGCATCAGATTGGAGCCCTTCCCGTATATAGTAGTCAGTACATACCGAGAGCTCTCGATGATCATCAGATGGAACTGAGATCCAGGGAACCAAGGGAGCAATTTTCATTGTCCGAATCAAGCATTTTGGGTAGAGGCTATCAATGTAGCCCTGGAGCCTGGAGGTAGCCACGTATGAACACTGCCCGTATGACATAGAAGCTCATACATCTCGGTAGGGTGGTACATTGTATGTGAAATTTGACGTGGAGCTAAGAAATTGCCATAGCCCTTTATTTCATACGGTACATGTTGCTGATGGCTAACTTCGGGTTTCCCCATAAATGTAGGTTTCAGGTGGGTTGAACGGAGTTTACTTTTCAGGCCCTCAAAGAGAATGAGCAAAGCGTAAGACCCGATAGTAGGAGTCAGGGCATATAAAACCATCGGGACTCATATCACCCATATTATCCACAACATAGGTCCACGGGTGCTCATCTCGGATATAACAAACTTCATAGCCACGGGTGGCTGTGCTGGGTGGACAAAGTGGGCCAGTTAATGTGGATGATATTTTTTTTTTTCAGGCCTCAGCCACACACATATCTAGGGCTGTGTACGGAGTACCATTGTGTTCTCAGTTCCTCTCTGAAAGTCTTAAAGGGGGAGAGAGGTATAAGCCACAGTATGTAAAATAAGGCAGCCTGAAACTCAGGGGGTATTCGTGTGCTGTAGAAGTAAAGATGTAACGTACTTCTGTATCTACCAATACCAAAAGCTGTGCTTCGTACAATGTACTGTATGTGGATGTACCTTTAGGGCCACATACGTTGATAACTCTTCACCGTCCAGGGGGAAACTTTTGAAGCCACAATACCGGTACTCCATACGGAGTACACTGGCAACAACAAATACCCGTATACTGCCACCGCCCTCCGTTGTCTGGCCTGGTCTTCTATCTTTCTCTCCTCCACCTCCAAATCATCATTCCATCGTCTTTTTTCATCGCTTCCCATCGAAAATACCTACTTCATCTTTCTAATTTCTCTAGGGCTATTGCTGCTTGCACTAGCTGACCCACTACATTAAATCTACCTCACCGTTGCGCCTTTGAACACTGTATGGGATCACCCTTTTCCTTTTTCCCCCTCCCCGGGAGCGCCTGACTTGGGCCCTTTCTTCTCGATCGACTATGTTACCCCCTCCTGCCTGTAGAGATCCATCATTTTTGAAAGTTTAGGGCTTGCCGGACCCCCTGGCATCTTCCTGCTCATCTGCCCCTATACTGACGTGTTCCTTATCAAGATGGCCGAGATCCGTCGCAAGCTCGTCATCGTCGGCGATGGTGCCTGCGGTAAGACCTGTCTGCTCATGTGAGTACCGAAAGTGGCTCCCTTATCAAGCGCGCTTCCTCCAAACTCTACTTTATCTTTTGGTCTGGCGGTCTGACTGAAGTTCACAGTGTTTTCTCCAAGGGTACCTTCCCCGAGGTAAGCTGCTATCCATCCTCGAAACTACGGTTCCCGAAACGACATTACTTTGCCCAGAACTACACGCCGCGAGAAGAATAATGAAGCATAATCTGACTTTGTTCCCGCCAGGTCTACGTCCCCACAGTCTTCGAGAACTACGTCGCCGATGTCGAGGTTGATAACAAGCACGTCGAGCTTGCTCTTTGGGATACTGCTGGCCAGGAAGATTATGACCGTCTCCGTCCTCTCTCATACCCCGACTCACATGTGATCCTAATCTGTTTCGCCGTGGACTCACCCGATTCGCTCGACAACGTCCAGGAGAAGGTGGGTCTCTATCATTGACCGCACATCCCGAAGCAAAGAAATGCTTGGGTGCGAACCGGACCGCGTATGCTGACGTACTGCAATAGTGGATCTCCGAGGTTCTGCACTTCTGCCAGGGTCTCCCTATTATCCTCGTCGGTTGCAAGAAGGATCTTCGCGACGACCGCAAGACTATTGATGAACTTGCCAAGACCTCCCAGCGCCCCGTCTCTCAGGAGCAGGTACGTCTTTTTCGACCGCACAGTGCATTCATCAAAAACTAATATATGACTGTAGGGTGAGGAAGTCCGCAAGAAGATCGGTGCCTACAAGTACCTCGAGTGCTCGGCACGCACTAACGAGGGTGTGCGTGAAGTCTTCGAGGCTGCCACTCGTGCCGCTCTGCTGAAGGCCGTCAAGGGCAAGGGAAGCCGCAAGAGTAGCGGCCGCACTTGCCTGATTCTCTAAACGGACCAATTGTTGAGGTGGTCTGGCTCGAGCAGAGATCATATGTATGAAAGCCTCCACGAAGAGCAATTCATGACGTTATTCTCGGAAAGGAGGAGGGCTTCATGGCCTGCATGCGAAATTGTGGATAATATCGAATCCGGGCACCCGAGTCGTGGAGGGTTCCCCCCACAATTCAGCTGGTCGACCTTGTGTTTTTCTTTTGCCTTTATTTGCAGAATTTGTCTAGGGAGGCGTTGTCTTCATCATAACCCTGTGGGCTTTTTCTTTTCTTTTTCCTCTCGTTCCGACGCCCTGAATTTTTCAAATGCCAAACCGCATTGAGGCGGCAATTATAAACCAACCGAAAAGCATCGAAAAAAAGAAGTCAGAATTGGAACAATCAAGAGATGAAGAGGAGAAGCCATTCAGTGTAGCACCGGTTGTGCAATTTGGTCAACGCCGTGACTCGCCTTCCCTGGTCGAGTTCCCCCTGTGTCATAGATTCTTGTCCCCTGCGGTTATCTCCCCATTCGCGAAGAGCTTGATTCGGCTTTTATTGTTTTCTCTCCCTCCTTTACTACATTTGTTTTTATCTTACAGCTTATGCATGGTACTGTCTATTTTCATCTAATATGTGGATCTGTTTATGCGTAATCCTGCAGTCTACGTAAGTGTCCGTAAAGTTGTGGATATTCCAGCGCTTCCAACCACTACAGTATTCCAATAATCTCATATATTCATGTCCGCTCGTGGTTCATACTGGCAACATTATGTATCTATTTCTGTAGATATAGAAGAAACCCCAACTCCACACTCCACTCCACCAAACCCCATCTCAGCTACCGATTCAAACTCAGCAGACCCTCAATATAACGCCGAGCATCCATACCAAGCCCCTCAACCAACTTCGACGGCGCCATATCCGCAGCACGGGAAGGCCCTGTCAGCCCGGCGGAAGAAGACGCTCCGCCTAGATCACGGAAGAAACGAGCACCGCTGCTGACACGGCCATGGCTTGCCGGGGAGACGTAGTCACTCGCTTTGCGGACGAGGAAAGCCTCCTGAGGCAGGGGGAGTGGCCTGCCCTTGGGACGGGTTTGCGGGCAAGGAGTCATCGTTGTTGATTATGGATGAGAGAGCGGCGGATGAAGAAGTGGCAGATAGGGCAGTTGGGGTTTGGATTGTACTATGTGGGATGCGGACCCAGACGACCCACCATCCGCGTTGGGTTTTGCTTGTGCGTTCAAGCTCTTGTGGACGGGAACGCGTGTCTGTGTGTGTTGATAGGAGACGGTGGTGGATTGCTAGGCTTTCAACGCGGGACCAGGCTGGTTGGGTTGATGATGGGGAGGGGAAGGAAGAGGGGGATGGGGAGCGGGTTGGCGAGTTGGTTGGTTGGGTGGAGGGGGAAGTGGTGCTCATGCTGGGGATATTGGGGATGGAAGAGCGGATGGTTAGGTTGGATGGGTCGTAGACTAGATTGTAAACTGGCTGGGTTCGAGTTGAGAACCGCTTATTGGGATCTGGGGAGGTCTCCGACATGGCGATTCGGGAGGCTGCTATTGTTGGGGATGTCGATGAAAGAAGGGGTTTCTGAAGAGGACCAAGTTGGTGATGCATGCTTGAATATAGTGATGGGGATGATAATGCTGGTGTTTGAGGATCAAAGAGGAATGTGAACATGAATGGTTGATGCTGGGATGGTGTATTAGTGGAATGATATACGTGGAATATAAGAAAGACACATACCACATAAATCACGACTTGGAGCTTTGTCGGAGTGGTGTCTGGCCCATCTGCCAGGTGGACATGTAAAGTTCTATGCACCATCCGAGTCTTGGGTTTGCCATTCTCGGACATGGGTTCTGGACTCCCCTCTTCTAAATCGTCCAACTTCTCTAGATCATCACGAGGCCCAATAACAAAATGACCCGATGGGCTATTTCTCGTGCTGTTTCGATGTTTTACCTCATCTTGTCCAGCACTAGTGGGCTGATTCCTCGGGGGTGGGATATTTGGATTGGATTCATGTCGTATTGGAGTAGAAATTTCAGACGGCGTAGACGTCGGTTTTGGAGAGAAACTCCAAGAGGAGCCATATCCAAGAGTGAGGTACTTCATGACCGCCTCTGTTGGAAATCCTGAAAGCTCGCTCTTTTGCTCCGTAGGAAGTGGTGATGCCTCACTTGTTCCTGCTCGATTTTCCTCAACGACTTCTGGGACTGGCTGCGGTGCTGCCATTATGAGCGGACGAGGTATACCAGGCCTGAAATCCCGATCCGGCGTGGAAGGCTGAGGAGCGCCTTCTGAAGTTTGCCGTCCGCGCTGCTTTCGTGGTTTGCGGCGACGCAGAGAGGTTGGGTCCCGCCCAACTCCATACGCAGCATCCCCAAACCGATAAATGCATTGCATCCAATGTGATACTTGGGCCAAGGATCGCCGAGAAAGAGCACCAACTCCAGTAAACACCACACCATCGGATGGTCGAGGATCATTATCTGCCCCAAGCCAGCGGCTTTGGTCATTTGACCCTGCCAAAGCTGGAGACCCCCCGGACTGCGAGGACGAATCACCAAACCTGGAGACAACTAAGTCCACCAACCCGTCGGTCCTGGCCACGAAGTCTTCAAGTACCTCTCTTTCTCCACTGCCCCACTCTTCCTCCCCGACGCCGATCCCCAACTCTCCTCCTGCAGAGAGTTTAATGCCATTATAGATATCGACAATGGGGTTTCCGGTCAACAGTAGTTCCCAGTTCCACGCAAAATTCTCCCAGAAACGTTCAAGAAATAGACAAAATGTGTGCCTGCCGACTTGATGGAGGATGTCATCTAACTTGAAGTCATGGTGTAGGAGGAATTCCGAATGGGCGCGACGTAATTGCTGGATCAGCAGAGGCGGTGGTGCCATCTCTCGTGACGAATAATGAAATGCCGGAGAGTTAGATGCTCCAGAGGATCTCTGAGCAGGTTCGACAGGAATTCGAGTCAGGTCGATAGACTGGTTTAACATAAGCTTTGTGGTCTTTGCCGTTATCTCAACCACTTACGGCAACAATCCACCAGTCCTTCTCTAACTCTAGTAGAACAACGCGCGATTTTTCTGTTTCAACATATTCCAGTGTCTTTCCAGCCGAGAAGTTACTGCAGATCAAACATGGTTAGACTGGTTCCTTTGCGGGGTTACGGGGACTCCTACCTAGCAAAGTTGACCATGCCTTGCGCCAGACCTATCTGGCGCAATCTGTCATTCTCTTCATCTTCAGGGTAGCTGTTTGCTTCACCTTCTGCCGTGGATCCATCAACGCGCCGTGCATAGCTCGTTCTCGAAGTAAAGAACACGATCTGGTCCGCTATCGTCTCGTCGGTAGGTCCGAGTGTCGGGTTGTAGATCGCGAGGTATGAAAGTTGGGCTGGGATCACCGAATCAAGATCGCTTTCAGGCATTGCATCGCTGAATGGCACCTGCAGGTTGTACCAGACAGGCAACAGCACTAATGGTTAAAAGACACATGCATCCGAAGTGGGATCCGGGGTGGATATTGACATCACGTGGCTGGTTTATCGATAAGCTACTATGGAAGCTTCAACTTTCTCCTTGTCACTGAACTTTTGATGATTATCCACCAGAATCATGTGGATTATTCCAGGTTCAGGGAGCTTACGTCTCTGCAAGAAGCCGTTTGTTCTTCGAGGGCTTGTATTTAGGTCATATGCCACCAAGACCTCCGATCCGCTCCGCATCCTCTTTTGCGGCTCTGATGAATTCAGTATTGCCCACTTGAAAGCTCTCCATGCTTATCATTTGAAACAGCCGGAGCGTATTTCCTCTATTGATGTCGTATGTAGACCCGGAAAGAGAGTTGGAAGGGGACTGAAGCAAATTCGGGAAGGTTGGCTTCACTTTACGCTTCCTTGAGTGGCTACGTTTTCTAATTCAATTTCCCTCAGTTCCACTCAAAGCTGCCGCATCTGATCTCTCCCTTCCAATCCACGAGATTGATACCTTCACCGGGTGGACGGTAATGCCAAAACTCAACCCAATTGGTATTTTCGCTGACTGTGCCAGCCCCCGACCTCTCCGAACGGTCACATAAATCTGGTGATTGCTGTGTCATTCGGACTTTTTGTTCCGCCGCGCATATTGAATGGTGCCAAGTATGGAGGCTTGAATGTACACCCTTCATTGCTACCAAAGTATGTGATCTTATATGTTCATGATCGAAGAGCATGACGGTTGACTTGGTTGATTAGCTTCCGTGGTCCTGCACCGCTTCATCATACTCTTCTTGCTGGTCATACCACCACTGGCGTGACGGTTCAGACCTTGCATATGAAACACTTTGATCACGGGGCGATATTATCACAAACGCCCGCCCCCGGGTTCGAGATCCCCAATCCAGAATCCTGCACTGTCCCCGAGTTGGTGGATTTTGTCGCACCTAAAGGAGCACAAATGCTCGTGGAAAGTATTGAAAAAGGACTATTCGTCCCTCCCATTGCAAATGCTGGAGCTGAACAGACAGGAGAGTTGAAACATGCTCCCAAAATAACACCTGAGGACCGGCACATCAAGTGGGCAAATTGGACCTTGGCAGATATCAACAGACGTAACCGAGTGATTGGACCTCTTTGGAGCAAGGCCCTCTGTGCAAGCAATCCTGTAGATGGACCTCTGTCATTCCAACAGAAACGAGTTATTCTTACAGATATCGAGGAGGTTGACCCGCCTGAGGGATGTGATTCATTCTCAATCGTTCCAGGTCTGCCCTTTACAAATGCCCCTCACCCCGTCAAGCCAAAGAAGTCACGGCAACTATACGTTTTTACTGTCGATGGCAAAGTTCTGCGCATCAACCGAATGAAAGTGGAAGGCGAACAAGACGCTGAGGGCCTACGAGCAGCTATCAAAGCTCGCATGTTCGGCGATCGAGCATTTCAATATGAAGGTCGGGAACTGACTCCCTTCCGCAACTCTCTTGTATAAGTATGGTGGGGCCTTGTGTACTATAATCTCTGATCTGATCATATATAATTCCCTTTCCTCGTTTCATCAGATCGCGAAGCCAGAATCTAAAAAGCGGTCAGTTTCAACTTAATTGGCTGGAGCTGAGACTCGTACCAATTTGAACTGTCTGACCAGTTATAGAAGCATTCTTGGCCAATGTAACAAACATGTCCGCACAGTCTTCGACCTCGGGCTGTAGCAGGATTTATTAGCATTCACGACCCCTTTCAAGGTTGGGGGAAAGAGGACTGCATACTGCTCGCTTAAGGGTTGTCGCATTTGTCCAGCTTTCAATTTTCTCGGCTGGGAAGCGTTGACCCTGGGATATTCTCAGTATTCATCAATGCCAGCGTCAGCCTGTGCTACTTACCCATTCAGTGAGCAACAGACCAGGAAGAATAGCATTGACGCGAACTTTGGCGCCCTGGCTACTAGCAAGGCACTTCATGAGATGGATAGCTGAGCGATACAGGTCAGTAATCAACTAGCGTAATGTATAGGAATGATAGCATACATGCTGCTTTCGAGACAGCATAAGGCAAGCTGCTGCCACCTGCCGTGACGCCCTGGAAAAGACCCCGGAATCAGTATTTGAAGCGTTCCATGGCAATGAACAGTTCAAGGCCATGTGGCATGTTTTAGTAGCTTACCGCAGTCGAGGCTGTGATGAGGAAAACACCACCTTCAGGGTTCGCATTGAACGTGGGCAAAGCTGCCTTGAACAGGTGGAAGCTGCTCTTGACATTAACCGACCAGCACTGATTCGACGGTCAGTGGAACCAAAACTTTCATTACATAGAGAGGGCCTCAGTACCTTATCCCAGTCATCGTCGTCCATGGCATCAAGATCGGCGAAGTTGGTCATTTTTGTCCACCCCTTCTCGTGTATCAACATTTTGTATCTCTCGTGGGATCGACCATGTAACTCACGGCATTCGAGATAATGATATCTAAGCCCCCCAGCTTCTCAATTGTGGTTTTGACGGCGTTGACACAGTCATCTTTGACTCCGGCGTCCTATTTCCAAATGCAGGACGATGTCAATGAATGGACCTTGGATTGGACTCTAGTGCCTTACGCCTTGGATAACCACAGTCTTTACACCATATTTGCCTGCAATGTCTGAGGCAAGTTTATCTGCAGCCTCCTTATTGGACATATAGTTGATAGCAACATTGCTTCCCTCAGAGGCGAACTTCTCAGCTGAAAGAGCACCTAGCCCTCTATCACACAAGGTTAGCTTATTGAGTAGAACCATGCTCCAAAGGATCCTACCGAGAGCCCCCGGTAATCAAAACATTGCGACCCGACAAAGAATAGGGCATAGTGAGTAGAATAAGACCGTTTTGAGATTGTTTAAGAGAAGAGAGACAGATGGTGAGATCCATTTGAAATGCCGAGGGATATGTCTCATGCGGGGTAGGATCGACGCGGATCGACCTAACAATTGACAACCAATACACTGATATACTGAGATGAAGATCATTCTATGATCACTCCCCGGTGTACTTTGCCTGCGCTCATGTTGTCTTGATTTCCTATCAAAGCTTCATATGACTCCGGAATGGATCGATTTTCACGCTTCGTCAGATATTCTGCTGCGGACAGACCGTACGATGCTCTTTGACACCTAACAAGAAGACCAAATACTAAGCCCAATAGATCTGGATCTCCCCGCCTCACCCTTACTCTTCCAGCGACATCGTCGTCGCTAGATATCGAAGTTAAGACGCAGTTCTCTTTCAACATCACAATCACGCGAGATGTAGATGATCCTCAACGACAACCATGCATTATCCACTGGGACCCCATTGAGGATGGATTTGGCCAGCCGGGAATGCTGCTACTTCGTTACAATTATCCACACAGTTCCGACCTGCAACGCTTGCAGCCCGACTTGGAGCAGTTGGGGGCAAAATCTCTCCACCCACGAGAAGTGAACACCTCAGACCCGTGCTTCAGACAATTGAACCCAGGCGACAGCGTTTCTTGGGAGGTGACCTTGCCATCTGTCTACTTCGATATGTTCCAAACAGGAAAATCCTACAATGTTTTTTGGGCAGGCGGGCAAATTCCTTTATGGGACTGGGGCACATTAGCGGAGCATAGTAACCACAAACTCGGTCCTAAGTCCCCTGCAGCAATACTGCCCAGTGGTCTAGGGCATAAAATTGACGTTCCCACCGAGGAAAGCGATATAGATGATGTGGGCCCATTGTCGCCTTCGCCTGAACCTATTTTGGCACCTGCTAGGATGAGTGGCGCCCCAATCTTTAGCCTTAGCATTGCCGGACCTACTACGCTATCGATGAAAGATCACACCCAAGAAGGTAGACTGCGTCATTCTGTCACAGCCACACTCTCCTATGACACAGCTCCGGACGCCTATGACGGAATGCCGGTTACATTCCATACGTTCAAATTTGAAGGTTGCGATCGCCGTGATGACGGATTCCGACTCTACTTTCAACAAAAGGAGAAGGATGACTGGAGTCCGCATGAGCTTGGGGGTCTCTTTACCCACCACGCTTACAGATTTTCTACTACCGTTCCGGTAAACGTTGGCCGTGACCCCAATGGTGAATTCGTGGCCCTGATGCCTGGTGAATCATGGTCATTTACGCGGGAGGTGAGTGACTTCCCGCAAAATGTAGCACTCGGTGATCGATTCCGGTACGGGTTCAAGGGAGCTTTCATTGACTGGTGGGATTGGGGAAATCTTCATGATCATGAAGATACTGTGGTGTTGGTTAATGGCAGGGCCAAGTCGCAAGATAATGAGTGCCGGCCTAAACTTGTGGTGCCAGTTAGTAACTTCGTCGAGTTTGAACTAGTTGAATGAGAGCTTCGTCGAGAAATCAATAGACACGAATACATTTGCACATTGAGAAAACTAATGAGAGCTTGATGTCCATTCCTGCGCCACATGTCCTAAGAGCGGCTCGGTCTCGCTTCCTCGTTGTGTCGTGGCTTTGCTTGAAGCCTAACACATAGACTAGGCTAGGTCTAGGCTTGACCAGGTCGTGCAGAAGTCTGTTCCTATCGTAGTGATAACCGGGGTCTTCAAGCGGGTTCGTTGAACAACTTTCAGTGGCCTCATAGTTTACACGAACACAAACCATCTACAGAGTACATGAAAGAGAAAGTAGGAATCGGGCCTATCATTAATGATTAGCTATTTGATGGTGAATACGAGCTCCATCTCGGTTTAAGCCCTTGGCACCTTGGCATTGGGGCTTTTGCCGTATAGATCCCTAATTAATTCACTAGAATAGGCCGCAAAGGAGATGATCAGTTGCTTAAAAAAGTCTATGCGCAACTTTATAACTTTCTGTCATTTCCACATTATGCTCCTCTATACACTTTCTCCTACACACGTCACCCAGGACGAATAATATGGCCTGACAAGTATCTGAAGAAGATACCCATACACTGAATGATTTACGAACTTGAATAACAGCAAAATGTTCTTCCAACGAACCTTGCTCACTGCGCTTCTTCTCCTCGCCATCCCAAAAGGGGTACTATCACGTCGAGGCCACGACAGCGACAGCGAAAGTGACACCTCCAGCTCCAGCAACAGCGACTCCACTAGCGACTCCACCAGCGACAGCGATGATACAACCACCTCCACATCCTCAGGAAGCGGATATTCTTGCCCATCACCGCCCAAGATAGATTACGACCTCATGGGACCAGGTAACTACTACAGATACCAAGATATTTTTGAACCCAGCGACTACGACGGGGTGTTTTATACAGGCGAAGCAATCTTCAAATACAAGCTCGACGTGCCACCCGTACCAACGACTACCAACTTTGTCTACACTCCTAGAGCCACATGTCCAGCTGGCTGGCAGTCCTTGCGGATGCGAGCCGTTGCATGGGTTGCTCCAAAGGCGCCCACGCCCAATGGACCAAAGAATCCCATTACCATTGCGTTCCAGGCCTTGCCTAATGTCGCGGATTCGTACCAGAGCTGCTCAAAGGTCGATATTTTGGGCTTCAGTACGACGGTTGCCTGGTCGACGACCAATAGAACAGGCCATACTTCCTACGAGGCGATAGATTCCGTGAAATTGGATATTCAGCCCACGGCTGGGAATAATGATATGGTTGATTTTGGTGGCGTCTATGATATTTCGGCTTGGAAGGATAGACCGAAGGACCTCAATGATCCGACTCTCTTTCAGTATGGGCAACTTCGGAAGCAGAGGTTAATCCTACCGGAGGGCACTTGCTCGGGTGGAAGTGGGAGAGAAAAACTTGACTTGGGATATCCGACTGGGGCGATTATTAACGGGTCTCTGACAAATGAGACTATTCACTTGAATGTTTCAGGGTTTGTAGTTGCGTGGTTCAGGGACCATGACGAGGAACATGCAACGACAAATGTTACTTATAATATTGTGTTTACTGGCGCTTATGATGCTGCGAATTCTACGCGGCTTCTTGTTACTGGGGCGGCGAGCGCAAATGAATCCCTCGTGAGCTTTCAGGCTCCGCCTGAAGGTTCGGGGACTGTCATTGGGACTTCCTGGAACTTGGCGGTGATCTCTTTGGTGGTTAGCGTTGGATTGGCGTTAGTATGATTGACCTAGCTGAGTTGAACAGTTTGTATTTTACGATGTATATGGCCTTGAAGTCATGTACAAGGTCTCTCCCTTATTGCGGAAGGATCACCCTCATTTTACGTATTTATGGTTAACATGGTCTAGCATATAGCAATGTATTCACTAAGATTATATGGCTTCTACCCAGCCCCAAGATGCAAGCAGATAGTAGAATTCTAATGGAGAATCAGAGGATAGAGCACTTTCAGGAATCGAGATATGATAAGGCTGTTAAAAGGTATGGGGCTAGGTCCTCCTTCAGGTACAACATATGTATGTGTGGATACATTAGCGTGGACTAAGTGCTCAATGATCGATGTCTTGAATTATTATCTCAATACGTCTGAAGACCTTACTGAGATTTACTCAGTGAGCCTGAACCTGCGGACGAACTACGTACCGTACCTGGAAATCAGTCTATTATTGGAATTTCTGAATTTGTATGCAATAATCCAAGGTCCCATAAGTCATGACTATAAGTTGTAGAGTGTTGCATTGCAGCGCGCCATCTAAATCCCTATATACAGTGTGTGTATGTGTATAGAGGTATGCAGTGCAGAACTAGATCCCACGTTGCTTGCCAATAGATTCATTTCTTACCTAAATACCTACATGGTGAGGACGTTGGTTCTTGTGATATCTGCAGCAATCTGGTCGAAGGTACTGGTAAGACAGATTAAGCCGCTGTAGATGCACAGCGCTTATATCACAAGCCATCCTGCATATTGGGTTTTCTTCATCCCCCACCAGGCCCGTCGTCCAGCCTGGGCAGGCCATTGAACGAGGAAACGGTCGACTAGAGGCAACAGCAAGACACCAGAGGTACTAAGCGAACTGACTCGAGCCCATGATTCTATGTAAATAGTACGCAGCTTTGGTGTTGATGCAAACGCGGAGATTGTTTGTAGACCAAGACACCAGGTAGTGCATTTGGCAAAGCATTGGAAGAAACGAATGAGTTTTGCGCCTGCGACAACGCAGACTGCTGTAGCAGGGCCGTTTGTGAGGATCAAATCGGGGTAAGGTGAGGTGTATTCCTTAGGGAGCTTTTGATCTCGGTGAAGCCCACGGAGCACATTGAGACAAGCCCAAAAGCATTGAAGCGTCGAGAATGGCGCGGTGAGGTACGATTGATGGACCCTTCGGGCACGTGGTACTGTGACAATGGTGTAATTGTTGTTATGGGTATGGCCCTGCGAATTCCGTACACGTTGGGCCTCAAAATCCTTGGCCTTGTCTGCGCTAAAGTTATCTCCGGAGCTCACGAGGTATGTCCGATACGTGTAGATTTGGGGGTCGAATTTCATGCGCTCGAGCATGTAAAGCATCTCAGCTGTATGACCACCACTTCCAAGAACTACCAATAGGTGGGTGGGAGATCCCTTTAGGCGAGATTTGGAGGGATTGGTATTTTGGGAGATCGTGAGGGAGATGAGTAGAACCTAAGGGAGATAGGCAAGTCAGTGAGATTGATTCAATGATATGGGTAAAGGGTTCCCACAAGAAGAATACTGGCCCCAAGTGTAATTGCCAGAACAAAAGACCACAGGAGCAGGTCCCAGAAGGATACAGAAGCAAGCGAGAAGGGCATCTTGGACCGCTGTTGTATGGTCTCAAGACTTTTGTGAAACAGCCCGAGGATTCTGGTGTATCATTATCTTAAAGAGTGAAGAATAAGAAAAAGGGCAATGAATTAAATAAGAAAGAATGCCAATAACAATGGTAGTAAGGCAGTAAAGTGTAGTCTTAGTTGTAGATCAAACAAAATTGGAGTCGCGGTACTCCATACACGTCCCCCGCACGTGCAAGCTCGACTAGTTTTATTTTCCCTTTGGCATCCGGAACCATCTCCCTTGTTTACACCAACGCTTTCACTTGTGTGTTTTTTTTCCATGCTACTATGTCATGGCCTCTCTATTTTCCAAGCGTTTGATATGCTTTTATTGTGGAAAGCGGTCCGCTCGCTCTCATCGCGGGCCTGTTCGCAATTTCCACTGTGAGCATTGTGAGGCTGATAACTACTTCGACGAGGTATGCTCATTCTTCCCTGGAATCTACTCGAATTACGCTAAATGTTTTCCAAAAAGAAAGGAGAGATCACAGACCCACCAGCTGTGGTCACCAACGCCGAGGTCTACGCGCCTGGCGCATCAGACTCGCCCTTTGAATCGACTGACTTCGGTGGATCCCAGTCATTTTGTGCCAAATGTGCTCGGAATCAGCATTTATTTACTAGCTCACTGGCGTCCTACTTCCCTCCCTCAGACGATCCTACCGATAGCGAATACGAACGCGGGTATGAGCAGTTCCGTAAAAGCCTGGAGGACCGATACCCCCAGGTTTGCGAGTCTTGTGAACCCATCGTGAAATCCCGCATCAGAAAGGCTGGCTACGAAGCGAAATCGGATCACCTCAGGCGCATGATGGATCAAAGTCGAGCAAACCGAGAATCGCGACAGGCGAGGAACCGAAGCTGGAGAAGCTTGCTGCTCTTTGTGGGTGCATCTGCATATTGGGTTAGTATTGCTGGTCAGCTAGCATGGAACTTGATCAGTGTGGCCACCCTCTCCCAGGTCTCGCAAAGCTTCGATCATTCACCCGACACCGGACGATCTCCAATGGCACCCAACTCCCTGGTCTCGTGCGTCAACCAGTCTCTCCGCTTCAGGCGCATTCCCAGCGAATGCTCTCCTGATCTAGCACCAACTGCGGGTGTGGCATTGATTGCAGGTGCAGCTTCGCTCTGGTGGAATCCAAAGCTGCGCATGAAGATAGACGGAATGCCCGGCAAATTTCGCGGTCTTGTAGAGTATTACGAAGCCCAACTTATCATCATGGTGGTACGATGTGTTTTCTGGGCAGTGCTCAAGGATCCGTCTGCCAGTGGGTTAGAACCCAAATTGATTCCAGCCGTCCATGCTGTGATGATTCTTATTACTGTTGTGGTAGGTATTATTCCCCCTCGAACTTTACACGCGCTGATCATGGTAGTCGGTTTTGTTCTCTCGATATATTGTCAGCTACTCTAGCCGTCCCCTCGTCAATTGGTCTGATAACAGCTGGGAAACTCAATTTGAATCTTCTAAGGCGTCTTCTGCACTCCCTGAGTCACTGGTGTCGACTCGCATCACAAGATCTGGCGGAACACCGAAGGCCAACATTAGTGGATTGCAGCAGCGCTTTCCGATTGGCAAATTGGCGCAGCCACAACCACAGTCACCCACTGAGCAGTCGCTTACGCTTACCTCTCATCCTACGGATAATGATGGCATGGACTGGTCCCCTTCTGTTACCCACAACCTCCGACCGACTGTGACACAGCGAGATCAGCCGTCTGTACTGGACGGCCCTCATCCATTTCAGGGGCAAATCCCAGCAGCCCCGATCCCTCCCGCGTGGAAGCTTCGCACTCAGACTTCGACAAAGCCCATTGAACAAGTGATTCAGCCTAATCCGTTTCACCGTAGCCCTACACAGCCGCAAGGTCAATGGCAGCAAAAGCATGCCGGTGCTGAACCAGTGTTCAAAGACCCAAAATTCTTTCCTCCTCGTGATCACGATACATCTACTGGGCTGGAAACACTGTTTGACCGTGCCTTTAATTTCCAGCCAGATGCTTCCCAGGGACCTGGTTGGTCCCAGCAGCCACTGAACCAGGGCTCTACGCGTCTCGATGAGGCTCAAAGTCATTTCTTTTATGGGTGCCTACGACTGGTTCTACTAGTCAGCTTCATCAGCGCATGGACAATCTCTCAGAATCACCAGGTCTTGATTCCAGGAAATTATGTGGAGATCGCTGCCCTAGGTGCGGCAAGCCTTGTTGCGGGATTCGCATTGATAACTATGCTGAAACGTCCTCTTGTGCAATGGAATGGCATGGAGATCTTGATTTCTATCACTGAACTTGGCGTCGCTGTTCACATGGGAGCGCATTTGCCCACAGTTTCGCTTAATCGGGACTACTTCGATCGCTACGGCAAACTACTCCTGGTTTTCATGGCGGCGCAGGAAACTATGAATGTATTCTCCTTCTACAATAAGGCCAGGTCAGAAAGCCGCCAGCACATAGTATCTGGATCGCCACAGTCGCAGCCAGAATCCCCACATCACAGCCAATCGGGTGCTCTTGACTGGCACGCAGGTCAATCTTCATCCAAGTCTACACCTGAACCTCGAGTCAGCAGTCCCCCTGTGCACCGATCATTTGAGTCACAACCACTCGCTCCTTCACTTTCATTTGGCGATACCGATGAAGCCTCTAGTTTCTCTTCGGCATTACCTTCCGTGCCACAGTATGGGCTTACTACATCTCGATCTGCTCAGCCATTCTCCGTTGCCAATCAGAGCGGCTTTAACCAAGACAGAAACCCACATAGTTTTACCATGGAATCTCTAAAGCAAATCGACCCCCTGTCTGATTATGAGCGAGACTCGGACAGCGAGACTATAGCTACAACTACAACCGCCGCCACAAATTTCACAAACCGCAACATTCGGTATGGGAATCATGCCGGTCTGGGTTCCAACCCCTTCTACTCGCCCCGACGGACTGGTCTTGGATCAGGCATCGGTGGCTTGAGTTTGGATGATGATCCTACTCCTCGCCGCATGACTCGTAGCCAGACCCAGCGTGGGCTGCTTGGTCGGCGTCCAGCTAACTACGTCCGATGATTTTGTGTTTCATTCGCGTTCAACTTTTCCTTCCTTTCAAAATTTCCCATTCTGTTTTTTTTTCGTACACCACTCGACATTCTATGTCCCCTCTCTGTTGCCGATCAGGTGGCTCTCTGTCTGTTCACTGAGGAACTGAGCCCTATCGTGACTTTCACACTGGATGGCTTCGTTACGGCGTTGATAGATCCACCTGGTCGGTTTCTTTCTTTCCTTTTTTTTTGCTTTCAGTCTCCTAGTTCAATTGAGGCGAATGTCGTGGGTTCATAGCGCAGGCGAATATTTCTTTGTTCTATATTGACGGGTTGGCGGCCCCCGAGGTGTTGGGAGCTGTACATATCTTTCGAGAGGGTTAGACTACCCTGGTACTTTGATGATGTCCATGAAATTACGATGACAGATGTGAATACTTTTTGAAACTAAAAGATTGATATAAAATTGATCACTTTCAACAATTGACATTCCACATAGACCTAAACTTGTAAAGTTCTACTCATTCACCCTCTCAACATGCACCTGAGACGCCTTGTCCCCTCTATCGCCAACAGAACCTCGCTCTGCGTCAGCATTCTTATGCTCAAGCAGCTGCGTGACGCCAAAGAGCTCATCCATCTTCTCGAGAGACAAACCTATATGCACACTATGGTCAGCAAAAAAAAAGACACCAGAATATCAGAGCACCCGACTCACCCTTCGTCTCTGGGATAAAGAACCACACGAAGACACACATCGAGAAACAGAAGGATGAGAAGATAAGATACGTGCTGCACAACCCAAAGTCAGCAAACCCTCAGCACCATGCACCAACCCATCCAATCCAACTCACCCATAACCATTAGCACCAACAGTAGCCAACATATTCGGCACAGCCCTGGCAACAACAAAGTTAAACAGCCACTGCGTAGCAGCTCCAAAAGAAACATTCAGTGAGCGGAGCCTGGCAGTCGGAATCTCCGAGACGTAAATCCAGCAGACGGGCCCCCATCCGAATTGGAAGAATGCGGCGAACAGGAAAATGCACACCAGCGCAACGTATCCGGCGGGGATGACGGGTGCGCCCTCAACTGGCGGCGCAATGCGCACGTACAGTCCGATGTACATCATTGCCAAGCCCTGCGCAATCGAGGTCCATAGGAGGGAGCGGCGCCGGCCTAGGGAGTCCGCTACGAAGATCAGGAACACGCCACAGCTGACCATCTTTACGATTCCGTAGACGCCAGTTGCAAAGAGGTTGGTTGCGTTGCCGGTTACGCCGAGCTGAAGATGGGGTGTAGTTAGCATCTGAATGTGTTTCGATTTGGGGGCTTATAGAGGTGCGCGCTCACGTTTTGGACTGTGATATGTTAGCTGGGAGATTTCTCAAGAGTATATTGGGAGTGGAAGCAACATACAGATTTGGGGCGCATAGTAGTTGATCGCATTAGTTCCAGTCATCTGCTGGCAAATCATCAAGACGATAGAGATAATTGCGCGCTTGCGATTACCCGGAATGAGCCACATCTCTTTCATCAAGTCCCAGAATCCAGACCCAGCGACAAGTGCGCGCTCCTGTTCCAGCTGCGTGGCAATGGCTGCGAATTCTTCTTCCACGTATGGGTGGTCAGAAGGTAGATTGCGGACTGTGGAGAGTGTCGCGCGGGCTTCTTCCCATCGATCTTGTTTGGCCAACCAGCGGGGGGGATTCGTTGCACATTAACATGCCAAATAACAAGAGCACTGCGGGGAGACCTTGCATTGCCAGTGGCACGATGTACATCGCAGGACCCTTGATATTGAGCAGTGAGCCGTAGTTGATCCAGAATGCGAGCATGATGCCCATTGTGATAAAGAGTTGGTATAGGCCCGTTAGACCGCCGCGAATTGCGCGCGGCGCGTTCTCGGCGACGTAGAGGGGGTTGATCATGGATGCGGCGCCGACTCCGAAACCACAGATCAGTCTAGAGTTGTAGGTGTTAGCTTGAACTCATAGGGAAAGGATTCGATGGGAAGATCTGGCATACCGTCCAATATACATAGCTTCGATGTGGCCGCTGGCTGCCGTTTGCATGACAATTCCTAGTATAGCTACCACTGCTGCGCCGATTAGGGCCATTCGCCTACCCCATTTCTCGGCTATCGGGGAGGCGACAAGAGCTCCAAAGAAGCATCCTGCTTGAAGGGTGGAGACGATATTGGCCGATAGATTTGCTGCTGCAACTTTGGAGATGTCCTCCAGGCCGTAGGTCCTACATCAATGACACTGGTCAGAATTGCTAGATACCAGGGAACAACAAGAAAAGAAACCCACTTCTTAAATCCTGGCATGGTTAGAACTCCACCAATAATACCTGAGTCCATGCCAAACAACATTCCGCCAAAACAGGCCTGGAAAGCATTAGTCACGTAATTCTAGCATGATTGCGATTACCATCGCCAAGGAGAAACTTACAGAACAAGCAAGCATAAAGACCCTCCATCCATAGATCTCCTTTGGATCTTCTCTCATCGCCTCATTGTGCACGATCTTTTTCAACAGCCACGACATCTTAGGTAGTAGTAAAAGGAGTTAAGCAAGATGATCGCAGTGACTCCAAACAAGGAGGGGAGTGACCAGTTTAAAAGTAATTCTCTGAGACCAGCTCACAACGAAGCTAAGCTAAAGATGCCGTCGGCTATTGATATATGTATAAATGAAGGAAAAAATACTACAATCTCAAGCCTATGAGAGGTTTAATCTCCAGCCCAGTTCTCTTGGCTGGCCACCAAGCGGCCTATGGGAAAAATGCAGGGATACTAAACAAGGCGAGCAGAGATGGGGGAAAACATCCACGAATCCGAGGCAAGGGCAACACGGGCTGCAAGAATCTGGTGTTGCTCACATGTCTAGGATGTTTTGGGGGCTTGGTACAAGGGTCCAAGAGTACAAGACACGGCTGATTCACGAGCTCTCAAATGGACGTGGGGTAAAGCTACACGCTAGACAGTATTGGGCTAATTTCCCGAGTAGCAGCGTGCAGGGTAAATATAGAAAACATGTATCTTTAGCCGATAGGGAAAGAGAGAGAGAAAGTGAGAGAGAGAGAGAGAGTATGTGTGAGGAGAACTTGGTGGGTGCCTGAGAAATCGGGTTGATTTTACCCCGGTTTGCGGGGAAACTCAAAACTTAGGGCTAATCCGAATTCAGTAACCCCTGCCAAAATAGGCTAAGTCCATAGTTCTTTCCAGATTCATTGTCTTATATGATTTCTACTTTAGTTTGTATCCATTCGCTTCTGTAGCCATTCTGGGATAACTGGCTTCTTCTCCCAGGCTGACTTCCAATCCCGTTGATGGTCTGGCACAGCACAAACTGCCGAAACAAACCATGAATCCTGCCCGGCTGCCAAGTCCACCGAAAGTGAAGGCAGAAGCGTACGTCCGTGAATGATATTGGAGTTAGGGTCAGCCAAGACGATCCGACCAGCCCGTTCAATAGCCGAATGAAGCTCGACAATGCCGACAGCCCCAGCCGATGAAACCACCAGTCCACTCCGGCTATCATGCATCGTTCCCTCGGAGTCATCCCCAGTCATAGGCCCCAACATACGGCCATTATCGCTGCGACATCCATAGATAGCAAAGGCGCCCTCGGAGCTCTGCAAAGCGCGACCAGTACGTACATGGTGAGCCCGCAGATGCCAATTCTCATTTTCCTCCGTCGGCGGGATGAGAATGGTCTCTATATCAACATCTGGCCACGGTTTCCAACCAGACACAAGAATAGGTTGACCATTGGGCTCGGGTTCTTCAAAACGTGCCTCGATTGCTAGTCGTCTAGTCTGCCAGATATCTCCGCCGTCGTCTGACAATGCAAGCATGCTGTCTGGAGCATGCTGTTCCAGCTGGTAGCCACCAGTTGGAACTGAGTATCCAAAGGCAGAACTGTATGCGAACTTACCATACTTAGCCTGTGTCGCTTTGAGGGGATAGTGGCATGCTTGGCCAGATGACAGCAGGAACGAGTGTCCACCACGACGGATGGCGATATGCTTGGGGTATTTCAGGGCCACAACTTCAGGCAGGGAGGAACTTGGATAGGGCTCCTCCTGTGCAGACCAGAAGGGGTGTGTCTCCGGTAGTGCCAATGGTGTGAACGAAAGACAGCACCAGTACGGTGACCCCGGAGAATTATAATTCTCCGTTAGGTACATGTTAGCGTACGAGTAACCTAGACTCAATGTACCATCGTTGTTGAACATGTCATCCTGCGTAGACCACCACCGGAAATGGCGAAGGAGAATCCCCCTCACCACGCCCCATGTCAGTGGTTCTGGCAGTTCGACATCTGCGAAGCCTAATGCACCCCAGAATCCAACCATGGCAAATCGATAGGTCATAGACCGTCCAAATGGGATGGCACTGCCTATTTAACAATAGTTCTTGTCAGGACCAAGTCATATGCTAATGGAAATATTCGTCGAAACATACCGTTAGGATCGAAGTAGTGCACAAAATCTTTAGCATACTCCCGTGCCCGTTGACGATAGCGCTCAGCACGCTCAGGATCAAAGTCACCCGCCAACTTCGAATAAAGAAGCTGCAAGAATTGAATAGCGAATGAGCCCGAGTAGTAATCCATCTGATGATGACTCTTAGGTCCATCATTGCTCCATCCCCCGCCAACATGGAAGGTATCCAAATGATCCATATCAGCCTCGATACGAGATAAAGAGTACTCCGCGCCATTCTTCCTGAGACCCAAGTTTGCAAAGACGCGGAACCACAGCCTACAATCGTCTCAATCACGATTAGCCGAACCATTCAATGCATACAAACAACAAAAGATCCTGGGTAGATCAAACCATAACATACCAATTCGTATTCGGCATCTCGCGCGCGTTAATACTCGCCAACCAACTACCAACATTCCCCCTCTGCCTCTCCGTCAATGGATCCCAAAAGACATGAGGCGCAACGGCAAGCGCAAACCCGATCGGGCACATCTCCACCATGCGCTGATCCATGTCCTCGATATGGCCCCAGAACTCCGGGTGTTCGGGGTCAGTCCCATTGATGATTCCCTGGCGCCAGCGCTCGGCCTCGGCGTATTCATATCCACCGCCCAGCAGTGAGGCCAGACCCCATAGTGGGCGGGCGTATCCCTCAATCTGCGCACCACCTTCGTCGAACCGTGTTGTCGACGTGCCTACTTTAACGCGTGTGCCGCCTGCTGTAAAGAGGGGCACTAGCGGGTCGAGAATGGCGCGGCATGCTTCTTGGAGGTCGGATCTGGTGCGGAAGGGGGATTTGCTAAAGGCCTGCGAGGGGGTTCGGCCGTTAGCGTGAATAGACATTGTAAGTCTGTAGGCTTGGAAGCTATGAGGTATTTCCGCGTTGTCGTGGTAGCTTTTGGTTATTGGTAGGATAATTGTGTGTTTAATAAAGATTCACATCGGTTAATTGTCGAGTACGAGTTGCTTAATAGGCAGTTCACATCGGGGTTTGTGTAGCTATGCTGACATATAGTAAAATCTGTGGCCATTTTAGTGCGAATCAAGACTCGCTGAGAATGCCGATGCAGCCAGTTGGATCCGTGCGTAGTTCTGGGGGAAAGAATGGGGAATCCTGGGGATGGCGTGGGGTTTGCATTTAGCCGGTCGACGTTACGTGGGGAGATCAACAGTGACGAGAAACTAGTCTGTCTGAGATAGGCTGTGAGCATCTGATAAGTGGGAAAATTATCGTCCACCAATGAAGGATACAGGCAAAACAGCCAATAGTGTGGCGCTGATCATATAGGATATCATGATATTATTGTATGTTGTACATAGGGCCCAAGAGCATTCAATATCTATACACGCCACAAATCGCATGGCATCAATACAATTGGACGATTAACCCCCCAAAAGGCCACTCAAGAATCGGGCCAGCTCTTTCACAAGAGCATCATCAACTCCCTCGGTCTCACCAAGACCCTGCTTTAGGATCTCGGTCCATCGGGCCAAGGTGATCTCGTGCAGCTTCTGTCCGTTCAGTGCTGAATGGACAAGACTGGCTTGGTCAGATGCGGTGGGCTCGTCAGGTGAGACAGAGATGTGGCTTTCGACGATAGCGCCATGCTGTAAACGGAGGAATGCACGAGTACTTGAGGGGAGCGAGGAGGGCAATGGCGGCCTTTCACGAGGATCTTCCTCGATAGGATATGTTGAGAAAGTAAACCGCGGTGTTTGTGTGTATTTCCACTCTAATGAGCGCAACTCGGCAATCCCTTTCCCAATGGCGGGTACCTGCTCGCCCTGCACTTCTCCTACCGTACCAGCTACCCAAGAATCTCCAGCAAAGACTTCAGGCTCATTGTCATGAGCACGCTGGGCCCTGAGAACAGCATCGGGATGTACCTCGTAGAGCCGAGCAAACTGCTCAATCACACTCTGAACCACGCTCTGCATGGAAAAGAACGAGTCGGCTAACGCAGCCGAGACATTCCCGACTGGAGAACGAACGCTTTCAACGCCCTTGGCTTGTATATACGGGCGGGCGGATGATCGCAGGTACCGGCCAAGGTCATGAATATTCGGGGAATCGAGCAAGCAAGTGCCGTGATGGAGGGCTCGGTGTCGAGTGAGCTTAAATGCGGAGCCAGAGACCTTGCGTGTCAGAGGTTCATTGGGATCATTTTGCATTGTTTCTGCTCGCGCCATAACAATATCGTGCCGCTCATTGACACTAGTGTTGGTAGCTCCGATTTGATGAAGTGCGCGCACCACCATCTCGGCATGCTTGTCGCGCGTAAATGAGGTACGCGGGCATATGACGCTATAATTCAAATTTCCTTCATCGTGGAAGACAGCTCCACCACCTGATCGCCGACGGACGAATACCGCGGATTCATCCTCTCCAGTTGTGCCGTTCCTACGGTCATTATGAAGTGCGCGGAGATCTGTCTCAAGCCATGGATTCTGGTTGCGACCAATCACTACACATGGTCGATTGGAGTAAAGAAATAAGATGCTAGACTCTGCAGGGGCGTTTTCTAGCAGGAAGTGCTCGATCGAAAGGTTCACGTAGGGATCTGTTGATAGCGATTGGTAGATCTGATGTAAAGAGGAGGGACGGCTGGCGAGCTCGGCGAATTGGTGAGCGGGATAGTATGAATTATGGCGAATCCAGCCATACTTCAATAGGTTAGACCGAAGTGCCGAAGACGAAGAACATCCTCGAAGGGCGAGCATTGGAGCAAGGGTGGGCGAAGTTATTGATCGCATCACGAAAGTTATCAGGCCGATAGTCGGTTGCGCTAGTCCCAGATAGGAATCCAGCGATGAGTCGAATTTCTAATTGCTTTTTTTCTACTTGCGATCAGCCAACATCTTTGTTCTCTCTTCCTATATTACTCTTTTCATTGATCTCAGGGTCTTTGAACTTATAACTTTCCTTTGATTACTTTTGACAAACTTCCAACGCCCATCATGTCGACGTGGGGTCAATATTTCCGTGTCACCACGTAAGTTGCCTACTCCCCACCACACATATCGCTGTTAACACCCCGATTTAGCTATGGCGAGTCTCACTGCCGCTCCGTCGGCTGCATCGTTGACGGATGCCCTCCGGGCATGCAACTCACCGAGACCGACATCCAGCCCCAGATGACCCGCCGCCGTCCCGGCCAGAGCGCCCTCACTACCCCGCGGGACGAGAAGGACCGAGTCGAGATCCAGTCAGGCACCGAGTTTGGTATCACTCTGGGCACACCAATTGCCATGGTCGTCCGCAATGAGGACCAGCGTCCCAAGGACTACGGCGGCAGCACAATGGACCTGTACCCCCGCCCTAGCCATGCCGACTTCACCTACCTCGAGAAGTACGGCGTCAAGGCCAGCAGCGGCGGCGGTCGCAGCAGCGCTCGTGAGACTATTGGTAAGCTATGTGTTACCATCAACATCTACTCTTTCTAACCCAATCTCCACAGGCCGTGTCGCCGCTGGCGCTATCGCCGAGAAATTCCTCCGCCTGGCGCATAACATTGAAATTGTCGCCTTTGTCTCCTCTGTCGGCAACGAGCACCTCTTCCCTCCAACTCCCGAACACCCCTCCGCCTCCACGAACCCAGAGTTCCTTAGCCTTATTGAGTCTATCAGCCGCGAAACCGTCGACTCCTTCGCGCCCATCCGCTGCCCGGAAACCGCCGCAGCTGCGCGCATGACCAAAGTCATCGAGAAGTACCGCGACAACCACGACAGCATCGGTGGAAGCGTAACATGTGTGATTCGCAACGTGCCAGTGGGACTCGGCGAGCCCTGCTTCGACAAGCTTGAAGCCAAGCTCGGCCACGCGATGCTCAGCATCCCTGCAACTAAGGGCTTTGAGATCGGCTCCGGTTTCGGCGGCTGCGAGGTCCCCGGCTCAATCCACAACGACCCCTTCATTGTCAACCAGAGCGAGACCGGCGGCCCCCGCCTCACTACCAAGACCAATAACTCTGGCGGTATTCAGGGTGGTATCTCTAACGGCGCGTCCATCTACTTCCGCGTCGCGTTCAAGCCCGCTGCTACTATCGGCCAGGCGCAGACCACTACTACTTACGACGGTGAGGAGGGTGTTCTGGAGGCTAAGGGTCGTCATGATCCTTGTGTTACCCCCCGTGCTGTTCCTATCGTTGAGGCCATGTCGTCGCTCGTTATCATGGACGCTCTCATGGCTCAGTATGCCCGTGAGGGTGCCAAGAACTTGCTCCCCCAGCTGCCTCAGACTGTGCCTACTAAGCCTACTACTGCGGCTTCGTCGTAGACGGGAGGAAATCTGACAAAATATATTAAAAAAAAATGTTATACGCAAGCGTCATTAAGAAGGATCATGTCTGTGCCTATATATATCTTTGAGGTATCATGGAGCTAGAAAAGTTTTATAGATGCCATGTTCATGCATTTACCAATTTCGGGAGAAACTGATTCTCATCTTCTATGATATAGTGTATGAAATGTCTAAGAAACACAGGTTAAACAGAGACTTCGTTTCCACAAGCCTGTAGAAAATATCGTAGAAAAAGACATCGCAAGGTCGTATAACCGGACAACTCTTCTTGTTGCAGTTACTTCCAAAGGCTCAATAAATCTCAAAGCAAGACATCAATTTTGAACTCGCTACCTAATCTGACAAACGCCACAGTTGTGGAATAACAAAAGGGGGAGGCATCGATTCATTCGATTCATCAGGACAATCATCTCATCTCGGGACGGCATCAAAACATCGGCGTGGATATCAAAACGACAGAAACCAGCAGCCACTGACAAAAATCGTGACAAAAAATAGAGAGTACTAGACTCCAAGCTCAAAAACGGAAAACCGGAAGTTGTGTACAAACGACGCAATGCAATGAGACATAACACACCTCTAGGTGTTTCTCATAGATGCACCTGGGCAGGCACCAAACCGGTCTCACCCAACAAAAAACAGAAAAGAATGAAAAAGAAAAAAGGGGCATGCAAAAGTACAAGAAGATAAAAGAAGAAAAAGTGAACAAGACAATCAAAGAAGAGAAAAGACCTCAAACCTCAGATCTAGGTACTTACCCTCCGGTTCCCAGTGCCCCAACTAACAGAGCGCTCAGACATGCTATCAATATCGCCAGCGGTAGCATTAACGACACGGAGTTTCTCTCGAGGAACAGTAAAAGTCGTCTGGACTCGTCGACCCTCAGCCGCACCCTCAAGATCCCAATCATGGACATCTTCCTCGTCATCGCCGAAGCCAGCTTCGTTACCGAGGTATCCCGGCGCGCCGATGAAAAGATCATCGCGCGTAGACCGGGCAGTGTTGAATACATCGTCTGAGACTCGCTTACGTGCGTTCCAGTCCTTGGCACCCTGCTTGCGGCGGAATAGCTCTGCTGAAGCGCTGACTGCTCGGCGCGGCGTGCTGGGGACTGCTGTAGATCGTTGGCTGGATTCGACCAGGGTGCTGCTGCGATCAATGCCGGAGGCGCGGTGCGCGGTGCTGGCAGTACTAGCACTGGAGTATAGATGGCTGTCTGGGCTGCGGCGGGTCATTGTTAGGGCTCGGCGCATGGTGTTCATTACCCAGTCGGAGGCTTTTGGTTTGGATTCTCGGGACAGCTTTGAGGGGGAAGAAGGGGCTGTGGTGGAATCGAGGGCGTCGAAGAGGAGGGACTCGTTTTCTGACTGGCGGTGGGACAGGTTTGTTTGGGCTGTAGAGTAGGAATCCGCTGATACTGAGTTCTCTGAGGGGGGTACGCCGTCTGGATCGCTGTGTGTTGAGCCAGCGGCGAAATACTCCAGTGACTGGCGCCCACTACCCCAGCTCGTAGGTCGATCGACGAGGATGGCTCGTGCTTGGTTGACCTTGCCCGTAGGCTGGGAGGTCGTAAAAGAAAAGGCCGAGTTACCTGACAGATTGGTGGCTGTTTGGTCGCTTTTTGTCGGGGATTCAGCATCCACAGATCCAATATCCTTTCGTCGAGTGTAGAAAGGACCTAGCCCAACGCCGAAGATAGTGCTCCGAGGAGTCGCGTAGGGGGTATCCGAGAAGGGGTCTTCGGGCTCCACCGTCTTGGCCGTGGGTCTTGTTCCAGGTGGGATGGTAGCCATGACATTTTCTCGGAACATCGCTTCGTCTTCCTCGCGTTCATCAATAGGATGTATGTCACCAGTAGCATCACTACGTCGGTATTCACTGTTTCGATATGAGAACGGCCTATTGTTCGCTGGAGGTACCACGGGCGTCCGGTTATTTTTAGGTGGACTAGTAGGGTCCATCAACAGCCCAGTTCTCTCCGCCGTGCCTTCGCCCTGGTCTTTCCAGTCGGGTCGTGTCGTCTGGCTGCGACTTGCCGACCAAGGATATATGGGGCCATCTCTTCTTTCGCTCATTCCAGAACTCCGAATGCTGCTTGCTTGGGTCGGACAATCTCGACCCCAAAAGTGAGCTCGTTCTGCCCCCAAAGCAAGGTCCCGTAGCTGCGAGTCTCGTTTGCCCTTTACGCGGCGCTTTCGGTGGTAGTTCCATCCGCAAAGAACGATGGCCATAGCAGCAGGGCATCCAATGCCCAGTCCAACACCTAAGCCGGCCTTTTGGGATGATGAAAGCTTGCTGGAACTCTTAGAAGTAGCATTCGGCGAATTGGCAGCAGGATTGCTGTAAGAAGTGACCCAACTACTCGAAGTCACATTGTAGAGATAGACCCGCGAGTTGGGCTGTACATTCGCAGAAGCCCGTTTCGAGGATGGTTTCGGGATATTGTACCCCCCAGAGATCATCATCACACCCCCAGGGAGCATTGCTGCTCCGTGTCCAAAGATGCCAGCACCTTTGGCGATCCCTAGTCCTTCGAAAGAAGGCGCTGTCCAAATCCATTCGGCGGCTCCACCAAATCCTTCTGCAAGATCCAGAACTGCAAACTGCGGCTCAGCGGGAACAGTCATATCACCCACCCAACCTCCAAATACAAATACTTTGTTTCCATCTTCCGAGAGAATTGCAGTGTGACCAGAGCGAGGCTCAACAGAAGCCGTATCCCGTATAGTCAGCTCAGTCTGTGGTGTCGAATCCGAGATTGCAGAAACAAAGCTCCAGCTTTGCTGCGGTAGCGAGAAAATAGCAAGCTGCGACATGTTAAGGAACGCCTGCCTAGTATGACCACCAATAAACAAAAAGTCCTGTTGTTTCCCCGTAGAACCGGCAGAATATGTAGGCTGAAGCGGGACGACGGCCATTCCAGCTTCAGCGATGGGCGGCGCACGCTTCCCAGTAGTGGCAGCGGTGTATTTGGTGTTGTAATAGGGACTCGGTCCTAATACGACCGTTGATCGGGAGTAATTTGCTGCCGAGACCCATGTTTCGTCTGTGCTGTTCGCGAAGGGACACATCCCACCAAAAGCGTACATGGAGCTCTCATTTTCGTGGCGGGATGACGAGTATGTGAACCCCGCTGCCAGATAATTCGATGCGGTTTTTGCGTCGCTGGTGATAACTGGCAGTCTATCCCAAGTCCCATTGCCGACTGAGCTTTTGCTGTTTGGGTGGAACTGCCATAGTACTGGATTATCGGATGCGTTGTGGCAGTTGCCCGAGTAGACTGTGATGAGTCCTTGATCATTGATTGCGGAGACGAAGCTCGAATCTTGATCAGAACTGTAGAACGGTGTGTTCTTTAGCAGCGTTTCATATGATAAGTTCTCGGCATCGATGCTGCTGGACAAGTTGAGGGAGACGAACTCGGTCTCGCCGGTGGAGCTGGGTCGAAGGATATATGCGAGAGAGTCATTGTGTTGCGGGGACAGGAAGACAGAAGACGGAGTGTATGGGATTGCGCTAGAGGGATCGACGAGTGCAATCAAGGCAAGTAAGAGTGCCTTGGCCCTTTGATGCTTCATGCTTGCGATCTGAGACATCAGAAGCAGGGATACATTCCAGGATCGGCGAGCATGGTGTGCCACGCGAAGGTCTATTTTCGGACAGTGCAAGATATCAAATTTGACAGGTGTTCACGTCAGTAACGAAAAGGTCAAAAGGTAAAGAGATATTAAAGGGTAGCATTGTAAAGCTTTAGTAAACAAATGACGATTAACACCGGGGTCTCGCCGCTTCTCTATATTACCAGACCAATCACCAAGAGTTACCTACATTAAGCCGACCTTATTTGCTCGCGCTAAACAAAGAAAGAGGGAACTTAATAGATTGCCGAGAGCCAGATCAACATTAGAACGGCTTCGTTGCCCGGCAACGGTGGGTGATTGCGTGTTTTCATGTTTTTAGTGTACACTAATTGTTATTCCCTATGCAACGCATAGTACATTTCAAGCCATGTGCATCAGGCAGTAGTATAAAACCTGATTTCCTTGATTTTCTAGATTAACTTGATTAACGCCTTTCATCTTGGAATCATTTTCCTGACGTTATCAAGATTCTCCATGTGGGCCTGAGGAAAGCGGGTATCAGATTGTGTCTCAGCACTTTGACCTAAACTGACATACGGAGTATATAAATCGACAACCAGCCCCCGACATGTTGTTTTTCTTGACAAAGTATCTCTCACAAGAGTAGACGGTCGCTTATGTGGCCTTATGATGTCTTCCGGATCTTTTCATAGGTCTTTCTAGAGGGGTTTTTAGCGCTCTTCTTACATATTCTTCTTGAATATTTCCAAGATCCCCTTTCCCAGTCTATTCTAGACGGCAGGAAAAGGCAGAAAAGTATACTCTATGCAAGCGACTGTTCTATGTAGGAGTCTTGATGATGATAAGTTCTGATGATGAAAAGAGCAAAAACTCAGCCCCCGACGCGACACCATGGCACCACGGATCCCTTGGCTTACTCCCTAATGTTGGCAGAACAACCGAGCTCATATTTGGCTTTGTGTAGCCAGTTCGCATATGTGAGAATGGGCTGTTTGCCTGATTTTATTGAGAGAGTTTTAATTCTATAGGTCAAGTGTGAACATGGAGTAAATATATGCCTGACAATGGGAGGTCCATTCTAAGCACTATGTTCTACAGTCCCCATGCAGATGACAATGTAAGCACATTATCCCGCTGATTGAAGGCACCTAAAACGGGACCTGTGCATGGAGGCCCAGCGGCTACCATCGTCAGTCGTCGGCTTCCGGGGGTGCCGAATCTGAGGACGAGACATGAGAGGCGAGAGGCGAAGGAAAAAGCAAAAAGTGGAAAAGTTGGTCGAGCTTCAGCCAGTCGATCTTTACACAACAATGCTTTACGGTCGTGTACTTTGCCTTCATATGGACTATGAACGAGGTTCCAAGACAGTCGCCACTGAACTATACAATCACATGTGGAATTCAGGAATTTAAGATGTATAGGACTATCCTGTATAGAAATCTCCTGGTTCGTTGATAATATAATATCAAAGACCTTCATACAAAATCAAGACCAGTAGATAGCAACCGAGAAGAATAATTTAAATCAGACCATATTGCGCCGTGCCTGCGCACAAACATGCACAATAGCGCCTAGGGGTGTCTAATGTCCGGAGGTCAGCGCAGCCAGCTTGTAAATCCAGCTCGACGTTAACACAGAGTAATAAGAGTAATAAGGGGTCAGGGCGTGCCACACACCCGGTTGACTGGGACTCAATCAGACGGAAGAGCGAAAAGCCCTCTTGCCTCTTTCGTCACACGGCAGGGTTGACACGAGCAATTTCTCTCGCTCAGTATCAGTGCAGATCCCACCTGGGGGATGTGGGATTGGGAATAGGGACTGGGAATAGGGATTGTGCCAAGTGAGCAGAGGCCATGCTGGTCCTCGTGTGCTTTGATCGCTTTTCTGATGCAGGCGCTCGGTGACCGTAGGTGCATGCGAGTAAAAGGATTTAAACCTGGATGTGGAATAGTATGAAATGAAGGGACATGCAAAGTAATAATATTTTGGAACGGTCAAAGTGTAGCCCGGAGAATTGTCCATGCTCCCTCCAGTTCTTTTATAGGGTTAGCTTGCTTGGAAATCGCGTGCATCGGCGCCGGAAATGGCTGCAGAGCGTGCTGTCTCGGATGTTCAGGCCGAAATTCCACTGCGGGGAGGCAACCTGTACAAGTCTTATACCAGTGGTTGGTGTCATACGCTTTACACTATACCTCGTACGCCACAAAATGACGATTATTACTGCCTATGCATATAAACATTCATCGGTCACCTCCCCACTCCACGAGCGACAGCGAGGTTGAATCCACTCAGCTACGTGAATTGAGGATGGGGTACTCCGTAGATGTACCTCCTAGTGGGCTAGGATACTAGTCCAAGTAGTGCCTGCAGTAGGTGAACTTCCAAGTACGGAGTATGCTCATATCCGCCCCTTGTCTGTTTAGCCCCTTTTCCAAGGGATCCCCCGCACCGTAGGCTGTGTGAGTGACGGAATAATTCCTCGGACTCTGATTCTCAGATATAATGTATACATTTCATAGACACAATAGGATCTATTTCACCATAGTGGTAGGGGCATAAAGTGCCAAGACTATTCCGTTTGAAAAGGGTAGGCTTACAGCATAGGGGGCCGGACCTATATGACGTCGATTATAGCGCATGGACACACGAATATGCTCCAAGGTTCTCTAAAGAGCTTCATGCAGGACGCCTCTCGAGAGTTTTATAGTATCACATACTGTATGTTATATTATATATTTGTACGGAGTTCACATATAATGGAAGTTACCGGAGAGTATACGGACTTCGGGAGTATAGTCAAAGAGTTGGACATGCTTTTGCCTCTTACCTCAACTGGCACGGACAAGAAAAAAATGAAATGTAAAAAAAAAAAAAAATTACCCCGTCGCCTATCGCTTAGGATAGATTTCCGGTATTGGACAGTAGTTCGGGCAGACGTGTGAAATACGATTGGAGGCAAAACGGTATATAGCCCAGTTCAATGTGTATTCGGAGCCGAGGAAATCCAGTCCAGGCAAATAGGAAAATCAAGATTGGGCAACCAAGGACCATTTCTTTACTTGTCTTCTAGCCTTGGCCAATATCCTTCTATCATCCATGGAAAGTGTCACTTTTGTATATTTCCCTTTGCCCTTTGTAGGCTATAGACTCAAGTCATCGACGTAAAGATTCATATAGAGTGGCAAATTCACAAACCACATAGTATAATCCAACCTTGGAAGGGAAATAGATATAATCATATTGTTCTATGTATATACTCCGAGTACTTAGACCTAGGAATCCAAAAAAGTCATATTAAACCGATCATTTTCGAGCTGACATACCTCCAAATATGGTAATATTCGAATTTAGATATACTCAATTTCCCTATTTTCACTGAATAGCTGTTATTTTGATTTCCACTTGCTATTTGGCCTTGACGATCAACTTGCGTTTTGTAAATTATTTCGATTCTTGGCGTCCCGATCATCGCTCTGCCCTATTACCCACCCAACCTCCCCCTTCGACTCTTCAACTCCCCTCTTGTTCTCGCTCTACACATCTTTTTCTTCTTTTTAATTATCACAGCTCTTGGGCTGTTTTGACTTTCCTTTTCACACTACTTTCGAGCTTCATATTCCGGTCTCGCTCTCCCCCTCCTTCCCGAGAATTGGCCATTCGAATGAGCCCGACCCCGAATTATTTATAGCATCTGTTTGCAACGGCACTCCTTTTTTTTGACTCAGAATCCCCACGTGTGGATGTGGGATCGTCCAAGTCCTCGTGCAGTAGCAGGTCTACCTCGTGTCCTTCCCCCTAAGGCGACAACCCGCTGTCCGGTACACGGTTCCCGTTGCATCACGAAAGTAATGCCGACCTGTTCGTGCGTGCCAACAGAGCTTTTCATCAGCTCACCTTGAACCAATTATTACGAGGGAAATTGAAAGAAAAAAAAAACAAACTGTCAAATTGGAGGATGTGCAACTAGGATGCTCTGCACTGTCGGCACCGCTGCCTCGGCCTCCCTTTGAATTAACATCACCAAAAAAAAGGAACAAGGGATCATGGCAGAAATCCTGTCCTCGCAAGCTGGTCTGGAGGATCCGGATCAGCTGCCTCGGAATGACCATGTCTCAAAAAATCACAAACGGGATCACAGCCGGTCCGAGGAGTCATCGCGACTATCATCTGGATCGAACGATCAACCTGAGTCTCGCCCCCCATCTAAATCATCTGCGGAACAACCCTCCATCATCACCGATGTATCAGAAGCCACCGCAACCTTCCGCCAGGCCTTCCCTGGCCTTTACGGTGCCCGAACCCCCTCGAATCGCTCGTCGTCGAGTTCACTACAAGCCCTCAACGAAGGTATCGTGGTCGACGTCCGATCGGAAAGTGGAAGTATTGGAAGAGGCAATCGACGAGCCTCGCGGCACTCGGATCATCAATTACCAGTTTACCCCGATCAGTCCTATGCCTCCCTCCAGTCTCAGGTGCATCCCACCTGGCAACCACCCCACGTCACAGGGCAAGATTCGCTACCTAGGCACTCCTATGCCCGTGGCGTTCGTACTGCGGGTAACACTCCACTCTCGAGCCCGGGCCTCTTCTCCATGAGACACCCTCGTATTGGAACGTCATCCGTGTCTGACGATGACATCTCGATGAAAAGCTCGCTTCTCCATCCGTCACACCTTCAACCACCCAAAGAAACACACACCGCCGAAGTTGATCGCGACATGGTCACGGGAAACAAAACCATCAATCAATATGAGATCCTCGAAGAGCTTGGACGTGGTGAACATGGCAAAGTGAAACTAGGCCAACATGTTGAGACTAAGCAGAAGGTTGCTATCAAGATTGTCCAGCGATACTCCACCCGCCGTCGGTTAGGCAAGTTGGGCAATCCAGAAGACAAAGTGAAGAAGGAGGTGGCTATTCTGAAAAAGGCACGGCATCCAAACGTGGTCAGCTTGCTCGAAGTCATCGACGATCCA